CCTCTGTTGAAGGAAAATGTCCGTAACAGACCGGCGTGTGTTTTTGTCCCTCTCGTAGAACTCAAGCCTGGACATGTAGAGCTTTTCAATGCTTTCCTTAACAACTTTCGCAACTAGATAAAGTTTTCCATTGAGGAATGAAACGACAGCACGATATCTTTTAATTTTCCAATTGACCTTCGATCAACCAAATTGGAATTTTTTGGAGTCTAAACAAAGTAATAACACACAGATACATAACATAATGAATTAGACATAATTTGAGCGTAAACTAATTTACACGCGGCCCAGTTAAACAACTGTATTGAATCTACGTAACCAAAAAGTAGGAGGCAGTTATCAATTTCGAATGTCTGTAATAGAAGGATGCTACACGGTCGGGTGTAAACGCATTCAGTAAATGTCTCTTGTGAGAAAAAAATAATCAAAACCTTGTATGCGGTTTTTGAAAGGAAAATGTCTTTTTACTGTTGGCCTACTGGATGAACCCGTACCGTATGAAGGTTCTATCTCATACGTGAAGAAATTCTCAATTTAGTTTCATAACCCTCAACCATGCATTTTCATGCACCGGTTTTGGTTGCTTTTTCTGACTGTTTATTTACACAAAAGATCAGAACTCAGATCGGAATGTTGAGAACAGAGTCAAATTGAAGATGAAGAATTCATATAGACTGAAGTTGCAAGAATAAGGAGCAGATGCACAAGCGCCACTGTTTGTGACACTCAGCCATATGGCTCAGTATCTTCAACCACCGATTACTGTGATCTCGGGGTCCCCATCAAGGGAGCTTAACGGAACCTATGTGACCCAGTGTCTTTGTTACGGGTTTCATACCATAAAGCCAAATCTTAGTTCGAACACCCTTGACCTTCTTCCATTTGCTACCTACCTCAACAAACATCGCGCGCCGTGTCAACCTATTTGGTGATATACGCAATACATGCGCTACATAAACCGTAGTCTATGGAGGTTGACTACTTGTTCCAGCGGATGACCGGGATCACCTAAAATCATACGCTTAACCTCAGCATTGATTGTCCGGTTGCCCCACTAGACCCGTAGACAGCGGTGTTCGAACACCGACAATCCATTTTTATCCTGTTCCCACGATGGTTAAGTCTCTACTCCGTATAGCAGGCCTAACTGCGGCAGCGGAGAAAAACACGCCATAGCTACAATATTTCACCTTGTATAACACGTGACTGATCGTAGCCATGAATCTGGAAATATTGTTACTCAAGGAAGTTTTGGAATTTCCAAGTTTAGTGAATCCGAAAAAAATTGTTCATTGTTAGATTTGTAAATGAAGTTGTCATCCCTCACTGGTTCAGCTGCTCCCCGGGGATTCTCCCTGTGTCATCACCCATTTTACACCCATTATACAACGAACTACCAAAAGCTAAGTCTACGTCATCCACACATTCAGGTACCTGTTCACATTGCGGTTTCGTTTTATCATATCTAACACGTCTACTTGTTAACAGGGACAAAATTTCCACAGAATTACGCAATTGCCTGCATCGTTGACAAAGCCGATATCTAATAATTTCACTTTTATTTAGTACTTTCTTTCTCAAATGGCATCGAAACGTATAGTGTAAAATGTTGAAAAATCTCCAATGCAGGTGTATAAAGCTACTAATGATTTGATCAATAAAGATATTAAAATGATATTTTAACTCGGATTCACCTCACGACTAAAACACTGCCGTTCCGCATTCGTCACAAGTCACACAGTGCCCGCAGTCTCCCTGAACGATGACCACTCTGACACACACCAAAGATTTTTTTATCAGAAATGAACTGTTTGAGTTGCTCAAAACACGATAATGGAAGACCAGCAAACCAGTGGGCTAATCTCTTGTTAACGAACTGTAAAAGATAATCGAATTTAGTGGGACCGTCGCATTTTATGCCAGCTATCACCTGGAAAACATGGTCCACGAATTTTCGAAAAGGTTAGCATTTATATGTATTTGAATTGCATGTGAAATAGCTTCTTTTAATCGCAGTTACCACTTTCATACACTACTGTGAAAATTAAAACCGATGAATGAAAAAATTGCATTTAACTCCCCTCATCTGTGGGATAATTCAATATGGATCAAGAAATGTTAAGATGCTAAAACTCAGAAGCAGGAATTACAACGAGAAATTAAAGATAAAAGACAAGTACGGCGGACGTTGACCATATACGCACATCTAAAATAACTTTCTACCATTATATATTAGCTACTCATAAGTAGTATACTATAAATCATCCCGAAATTCCTGATGTACAGGTGTCATGAAAATAAAAATCATGATACTATTGATGTCAAAACTAACAGACAAAGTAAACAGGAATAAACCTGTATTATGAGCTCCAAAATCGCTAGAATTTCATCTGAAAATGTCTAATTAGAAAGATCAAACCATTAACTATATTGGACCTCATCTAGATGGTCCAAAAAGTGTTCCCAAACAGACGAACCTGTAGCATTCTAAAAAATAGAATAATCTTCGCTCCGATGAGATTCTTGCATGTGATTCATACCCACGCACCCATACCGTTCTTTGGGAAGCAGTCCACGATCCTACAGGCAAGCAAAGCCTTCAATTTTGTTCAGATTTTTGGTCAAATTAAAACTGCCTGTTACACCGTCAGGGTCAGAAATTAAAACAAAGCGATCTATAATCGACATTGATATAAGACCTAGAGAAACCAAAAAACATTATCTTATATGACAGAAAACAAATTAAAATAACTTAAGAGGCCTTATTCAAGGAAACGATCCCATAAGGTCACGGGGGAGGTTGTTTTAAGGACTAACATCCGCCAGGATTACAATAAATTCTTGCCCAAACTCCCACGTACTGGATCTCTATGCGCCAATTCGATGTACCAACTCACTTAGATGAACCTCCGGGTGATGTGGGAAGATACTGAAGAATTGTTTGTAATTCCAGCATGGAAATCACTACCTTTCCGGGGAGTCAGCAGTCCATTGTTGCGACCGTGGGCAAAATATGGTGTAGCTGGACACATTGAACACTCAGCTTCGCCATAATCTTGCCAACAGCCCACAACATGGATGAGTAGGCCATTGCGGCCACTGAGAGGAAGGCTTGTCTAGAATTGTCCAGGATTATTTATATATGAGGGGATGGGAACAAACACGAGAGCCCCCAGCACCTCGACAGTGGTTGGTTAACAGCTAAGATTTTTTCTGGTAAGCCCATTGGATACAGCTGACTTTATACTGAGAGTAGCACAACAAAGTTGTGGATCAGAAAATTACCAAAAATGATAATGAAAAGAATAAAGGGTCAGTTTATTCATTCAGAATGATTGGTATGATTCTTTGTGTGATTGTCTCTTGTGACCTTGAGTTTGTTTAAACCATCCACAGTTTCGGATCAGCGCCTCACGATGAAGTAAGCGTGGTGTTGTTTGTCTACCGTTTTACACTTGTGATGTTGAAATTGTTATGCTGCAAGAATGTCATGGTCCATTTCTGAAAAATTTAGTTGTCGACTTATTGCATTTCTTCGGGTGCCTGTATAATTTCTAAGCCTCATATCCATTTGCTCGTGAGCCATCAACTCCAACGAAATTTGGAATGTTGCCACGCAGTAAGCTGTTTTTGGTCTCTCCTTAAAGTTATTTTATAGTATTTTGAGCTTTATCCAAATAAAATTTGCCCGCGAAGATTTCAATCAATCATTGAATCTGTATTTCGTAAGGTGCAATCCATCCGTCCTTAGCTGTATGCTTGCCTCCGTGCTGGAATCAGCTTCAAATTCGAGAATTTAGGTTGTTCGTCCGTCCGAAGCTGCTCTGTAGTTCGTATACGTTCCGTTTCCTCGAATCTCATGCATCAGTTCGGAAAATTTTCAGTGAAACGCTGCTACGTAGTCTGTTTTTCTCTCTTGTGTTCACATTAATTACAAAATCGTGGTCGGTTGTACTTCTAGGTTGGAAGTGTGCTCCTACAGTGGCTTCAAAGTTTATCCAGGTCACGGCAAACGAGCCGTCAGGGGCGATGGAAGGGGGTTCTACTTCATCAACTCGAAATGCGAACGCTCCCATTACCTGAAGCGAAATCCCCGTGAGATCAGCTGGACTGTGTTGTACAGAAGAAAAAACAAGAAGGGACTTTCCGAGGAAACGGCTAAGAAACGGACTAAGCGAAGCGGCAAGCATACCCGTGCCATCGCCGGTGCCAGTTTAGCCGAAATTATGGCTAAGCGTAATCAGAAGCCAGAAGTTCGAAAGGCTATGCGCGACCAAGCTATTCGGTAAGAACCAATTATCATCATTTGATTTCTTTTAGTGCTTCAAAGGAAAAGCAGAAGCAGAAAGAGATGGAAAAGAAAGTCAAGAAGATGGAGCTGAAAAAGAAACAAGCACCTGCCCAACCCAAAGCAAAGATTGCGAAAGTGGCACCCAAATCTGCCCCTCGTGTCGGTGGGAAGCGGTAATTATTTGAAGTAAAGGAATAAAGGATTTAATCAAAAATTTGGTGGTCTTTTTAATGAAAACTCGGTTGTCTGACCCGTGTTATCTGTTTTCGCGGAACCTTAGTATGATCTTAGATATCGTGATAACGATCATGCACTTCATCTTAATTGGTCATTAGGTTCATCCGAGAAGTTCGTTACTCCGGTCAAGGACAACAAGACGAGTGAGTCCACAGGCTTGAGAACCTGCTTTACATTCGCCACAACTTGGGACTCGAGTGGTGATCTGTAGACCCCCAATGCATATGCATTGCAGGTTTGGTACTGACCGGTGAAGTCCGCTTACCTGTATTACGCTGTACGATGATGATTTAGACCCTGATAGATCTGGTTTGGAGTCTCAACAGTGACGTTGGTAATGGATTACAAGAGCTAGGCATTCGTCGTTGGGTTGTTCATAGGTTGAATCAGCTCACCAAGGGCCGTGACAACTGGTGTGCAGCAATAGCTAATGAGAGGAAAGTAACAGTTGCCTCAAGGAATAAAGAACTGATCTAGACCACCGGAGGTCGGCGCACCCCAGTCAGTACAACGTCATGCGCCAGCATCGGTTGAACCGATGGTCAGTGTATTTCAACGTTCGTTCCAACTAACCTGAAGCTAAACATATTATCTTAGCTGTTGTGGCTGATACTCCGTGGGCAGTCTTGTAAATCCCTTAACAAGCATAATTACGATTCTGCATTCAAGCTCGGAAGAGAGGAAAAACAGAAAGATTGAACAGACTACTCTTCCAAAGGTAGTGAGTGATAACCA